GGGAGTTCTGGGGGTCCTGTCAGGGGCGGGGAGTGGTTGGATAGCCGTGGGTGTGGATAAGGGTTGGGTCAGTCAGAGTACAAGGAGCAGGGAGGGTTGGGAGTACTGAGGGGAGCAGTCAGGGGGCGGGAAGTAGGAGGGAGTGGATAAGGGGCAGGATGGGGGCGGGGTTCCCTGGGTGCACACCCTAATGAAATGGGATGCACTCGCCTATGCTTTCTGAACAATACTTCAGTGTTAGGCTGATGCTGTGGAATCTCTACCTTTTAGATGTTCTTTTCAAGTATGGCATGGTACTTCCAGGAGTGACATGGTGGTCCACACATTCACAGCTTGTCTTCACTGTATTGTTAGCTCAAACTAGTACACTCAAGTTACTCTATTCGAGCCAGGCTAGTTCCAGAGAGAATAATCATGCTGAAGCTACACAGGCAGCTGATGAGGAGTTGTAACTCGAGCTGCTATATTCCCACTGCATTACTAGCTTCAGCAGCACTTGAGCTTCAACTCATCCTCATCTACGTTGCCCTCCAGGCTGGGTAGCTAGAGCTTAAAGCACCACCAATTAGCTCAAGCTAGATATGTGTGTGGATGGACAGGAGTTGGATTAGGGGCAAAACCTGAGGTACAGCTCAAGCTAACAATGCAGTGAAGACAAGTCATCAGAGATTTGCAGGTAAGGAGACCATCTGGGTTAGCCATGAGCAACATGGAGGAGGAATTAATTCAGTCAGTCCCTTCACTAAACACTGGAAGCAAGTGAAATGTAAAAAGAAGCATTATACATTATATTTTTATTATAAATTTAATTAATTTAGACTTGGAACTGCCTATTTCTTTGTACTTACTTTTTTGTGACATGGGACAAAAACTCCTCTGTTTAACAGCTCCATACAGTAAGTGCAGTTATCTTCAGTACAATTTCTTACTGGCCTCCTGGTTGTTACATCAACTGATTTCTCAATTTCCCAACTTTTAATAAATGCTTCAATTTCTTCCATATTTGTAATTATAGTCCTATTTTGCATCTTGAGGTCATCAACTGGGTCTCCATTACACACACCTTAAAACAGTGCATCATATTTAGTGAATAAATATAGTACATTTGTTCTTCAATTAAAGAAAAGTGCAAATGCTAAAGTAATGGTAACATTGGATCAAATCGTTTGTAAACAATTTTATTTGCAACAGCCTACTGCATTTGCAAAAGTTAGAATTTCCTAAATATGGTTTTAATTTTTATTGGGCACACTGTCACATCAACAATATTTTAGCTAGACAGACAGATCTTACAGTTCAATTAAAAACTTTCTCAGATGTGGATTAATTGAAAATAACTGGTACTAAAATATGTCAAAGGCAGAATGGCAAACTCTCTCAGATTGTGCCAGATTCTAACACCCTTACTCACTAATTCCACAAGTTCAATTACACTGCTCTACAGCCAAAATGCTTCTGAAATAAATGTAGTCAAACTTTACTAATTCTGGGTCACTGAGAACAAAAATGATGCTTAAAATTGTTGATTAGCTCTAGTTTTCAAGATATGCTACTGGGTCAGTATATACGACCCTTGACTTGGGAATGGCGGAGGATAAGTGAGTTATAAAGGGAAGGGATCTCAATTTAAACCAGAAATAACTAAAATACATCTTTGACTGGATCTATGAATAAATCTATGACTGGGTTTGGACAGTACTTGCTTTTTAGGCAAAACAATGAATGATGCAATCTGAAGCTAGTATTGCGTCATGCATGATATGAATTGCACCATGTTATTCCTAGAAGTCATGGATGATGCAATCATAACGAAGCTTACATCACTCTGCTGAACAAATTGCCCTCTATCAGCTCTAGAAATCATACAGTGTCGTGCTCTCTTATTTGTCAGTGTTTGATTTTGCAAAGGGACACATTTCTGTTTAGCCAAAGTGAGCAGAGATGCCTCGTACTTGT